CCATCCCTGCTTTTAAGTTTCTGGCTAGCTAGATAGTCCTGTGTCCATTTCCTCTGAACCGAAACACTATCTCCTGGAGAGAAGAAAGTTTATGATTGTCAGTGGAGACCATCACCTGTCTCCAACTGGGTGTTTGTCATGCCCTCCCTCCAAGAATGAAGTGGGCAAACGGAGGAATGTTCCAATGTGACCCACTGTATTTCTCGTTCAGATTAACAACCTAAAACAGGTGAGATAACTTTGAACAGACTGCCATGCAGATTGGACAATTTCAACAGAACAAGTTTGAACTCAGTAACAGCAGGGTGCTAGCTAAGGGCTGTCACAGCTCTGAGATGTCACCTGAGGGCAAGTCTGCAGAAAACGGCAAGGGGGAAGGACAGGTCTCTTGTCCTGGGCAGCTCTCAAAGGCCAGAAAGAGCTAGAGAAGCATGGAGTTGCGGGGTACTGAGGCAGGACGAATTCACATGCAGGTATTGATTAACTTCTGAAGTCTTGCTTAAGTCCTGAAGGCTGGCTCCATCAAACTCCTGACTGGGAGAAGGCCCTGGTGGGGGAGCCTTGTCCATCTCTGGGAAGTCCTGAAAGCCATCTCCCTTCTCTTTCTCCTCTGTCAGCTTTCAGTGCTTCCTTCGCACTGAAGCAATAGACGTTCAAATTTATTCAGAACCGGGTGGGTGCTTATTGGTTGAGTCTGGGTATGCAACTAAGGTGGAAAAAATGGGACCAACTGTAAGAGTCTGCACTTTCCAATGGATACCCACGCCTGACCCAGGCTGCGCGCTTCCTGAACTCGGGCCCACGAGAAGGGATGATTGTCCTGAGGGTTGAAAAAGAGACACACACAAAAGAAACCTTTGCTCATTCACAAGAGTAAATGGCAACTTTATTAAACTCAAGTCAGGTATTTATACCAGTGGGCTAGAAAGATAGAAAATGCAAGGCCTCCTCCCATCCAGAAGCAGGAGAAGAAGATTAAAGCTTCCCGGCCCCTCGGGCAGGGTCAGCTAGGGGAGGCAGGCTATCGGCTATCAGCCCACTGCTAAGACCTTGAATACAAGTGGAATCACCATAACAAAGAGAACCAGGTTCTAGCTAGGTTATCCCCTCAAGCCAGAGCTAGTGCAGAGTCTCCAGGAAGCCGGAGGTCACACGGCCCTGCAAATCGCCAGGAGAGAAGGGAAGAAACTTTGGTAGCTACAACCAACTAAGGAAGAGCTGTCAAAATAGTTTATCTTTTCCAGGTACTACTGTGATCTTTGTAGGCTATTGGCCCAGTGCTTCCTATGTTCAAGGATTTGGTTGTCAATTTTGGTCAGTGGGGCTTTCATTCAACAAGGGATATTTGTTCTTTTGGTCTGTTTGTTTGTTTCTGTTGTTCTCTGGCCTTGAGTTTGGAGCTGGAGTTCTCTTCCTGTCAGAACCCTGCTTTAGGTGGGCTCAGCATCAGGAAGGCAAGGGCTCCTACCTCCATCAATAAAACTTGGACTCTATAATATAGGACACTTGGGAAGCTCTGATACATATGAGACCCATGAAGAACTTCTCCAAGATTATATGGACAGTAAACACTTTCTGGGGACTAGGAGATTCTTCAATGGAGCTGTGTGAGTATTGGGGAGGCAGCTCCAAAAATACCACTTTCCTTTCTCATCACCTATATTGAAGTGATGTAGTTACAAAAGAACCACCCATTCTCTTATAAGTAACTCCCTGTCCATGTCCCTATAAGTAATCCAAAATAAACTCATCAGTTTACCAGGCTAGAAAGGAATAGAATAGTTTCTTTGGTATGGTATTAGCATTCAGGATGAGGTGAACAGGCATTTGTTCGTGTCCCTCGAGGAAAAGTCACACATCACAGGAGAATAAGAGGAGAACACAGAGAAAATGTAGTGACACCCAAGGAAAAAAAAGCACAGGAATGATGGGGTCCTGCTGGGCCAAAGAACAGGAGTTGAACATTAAGATAAGACTAGGCAGTGGTGGCAAGCTCCTTTAACCCCAGCACTTGGGAGGCAAAGGCAGGTGGATCTCTGAGAGCTTAAGGCCAGCCTGGTCTACAAAAGTTAGTTCCAGGACAGGATCCAAAGCTACAGAGAAACCCTGCCTAGAAAAAAAAATAAAAAATAAAAAAAGATAAGGGGTGTTTTTCAACAGAAAAGCAAATGCCCCAGGAATGGTGATAACCTGCTAGGATAATTCAAGGAGAGCATGAAAGCTACAATCCAGATTAATGAAATAAAAATAGAGAATTCCACTCTGTGTAATAGTGTAATGCAGCAAAGTATTTGAAGACCCAGTGAATTAAGCACACTAACATGTATTAAAAACAGGAAATAAATTTTCAAATTGAAGAAGCAAAATAATCAACAACAAAATCCAGCTGACTACATTCTTAAGAAAGCCTCAGCAATAAGTCTGTGCTGTTGTAACTAGACGTCATCAGACACAAGATTAGCAAAATTCCAAAATGACACAACCCGGGTATTAATGCTTAGCTTTTAGATGTGATGTAAACACAGTTTTTGCAAACGCATAGTAGAATCATAGTGGCTCTCAGGGTAGTCCAATCCTAATCTGGGAGTGATCGAAAGAATCTGATGTTTCTGGAGGCAAATTTCTAGTGTTTCTAGATGGGCTACTATGACAAATATTGCTTAGCACTCCTAATAAAAACATCAGTGATAGTAAGAAGTGGAAGGATGAAACTGCAAGCTTTTCCCAGTTTCTAGGTCAGACTTGGAATGAATGCATTGACTGAAGGAGTGGTGACTCCCTCTGAATTAAGATCCTATATTACCAGGGCGACCCTATCCGTTTATGATCTCACCTCTCCTTAACCTAAGAACATTGGACCACACATAGGTAAGCGCATGTGCTTCAGAGAAAAAGGAGAACACTTGATGCTTTCGAGAATGATTTTATTTTTTTTACCACTGAATTGTAATTGACACTAACTCCTAAAGACTGAATGCACCATCCTGGCCGCCTATTAACATGGAATCTGTAGCAGCTACACTAAGCAAAGCTAAAGACTAGTGTTTGGTGGGCCACTGCTTGGAGAGTCAGTCCTTGGAGAAACCTATTGATCCATTATCTCCTCTCCAAATATAAAATGAGAAAGTATACCATTGGAGGTTTGAAGACACCTCATATTGTTTCTTTGACCTCACGTAAGTACTCTTATCATGGTGAGTGGCAAGCAGAAACTCTGAAACTGTCCCATCACAGCAAAAAGAGGAGTGGAGGGGCCGGGGGGGGTGATGAAAATGCTGAGATATTTTAATATCTCCTTGGGCCCTATGTAGCCCTGTGTTTTTCACACGTTGGCACCTGCAAAGACAACAGATGGTGGGAAACTGCAGTGCAACACTAGAAGTGGTCACTGTCATAGTGGCCGTACCTATCAGCAAGAGAACAAGGTGAAATCTATTTTCCTATGGGACGGAAACCCATTTGGTTTATTTTGTTGCCGGTTGTCAGAATATAGCCCGGGAAACTTGGATTTTAGTGACATTCTGTATTACACAATAATATCTTATGACAGTACTAGATGAGAAATATGGATCAAATATGCATATATGGGAAATCTTGATAAGAACTTACTTACACAATGTAGCTTAGAGTCTGACTGCTTGAGCTTATGAGGATTCTGGAGAGCTGTGTTACTAGACAGAATGAAATAGATATACTTTCCCTCTCCCATCCGGTAAATTCTCTTAATACCACACATATGCACCCAATCCAAGACAGCCCTACAGGGTGGATGAAAGAAGATGGACTGACTGGGGAATCTCAGGGTTTAAAGAATGATAAAGCCATGGAATTGCTGGGTTTTTGTTTGCTTGTTTTTACCACATTCTAGATTGAAATGTAGGAAAACCCACAGAAGCTATGGGAACTCACACAGTTCATCATTAGTCACATGACTGGGTTGCCTGCTTGTTTGAGAAGCTGGAGCCAAGGAGCTGGTAAGGGGGATTAGGGGTGGGTTTAAGTAAGATTCAGAGGATAGCCTGAAGATCAACAAGCTTTAGTTACATCATTTATGATCAGATCTTATCATTATCTCCCATGCAAACAATAATCAATGGTCGTAGCTCAATCGTTCATTAAGTAAACTTCCTAGAAGTACTTACATTCCTGAGTTGTTCACTCAGTAGCAGCGGCTCCTTTCCATTGACTTTGCAACCTAAAATTCAGCCAGCCAACTATAGAAATAAGTCACTTGTAATGACATTGATCAAAGTAGAATATTCTTATTTAAAAAACTAAGATGAAGTATTGCCATCTTATTAATAGTTGTCATCAATTATTGTCACATTGAATTTGCATCAGTAAAAATCTATACAGTGAAGCACATACAGGCAATTTTATTAAGATTTTTATGTTTTATTGATCATTGCATTTCTTAAATGGCAGATAATTCAACTTGCAGGAAAATGACAACACTGTGAAACTGAGACGTGTTTAAATTAGAAAAGTTGAAATCTGTGGAAGGTCAACGGAAAATTAAGCAAAACTCAGCACAGTTTCTGGCTTATCTAAGACACGAGTGTGGCGCACTGGCTACAAAAGAGACGACGAGACTTACAGTGGACTTCCGCTGCATCAGTTTCTCGAAGCTTCCTCATTCATTATTTCTCATTCCAGGTGCACTGAAGTACATTCTGTGTTCAGCTGGGGGGTGATTTGGAAGAGGCTAGGTGCTCCTGTAGACTGGGACTGAGAGCCATCCCCACCAATTCTGTTTGCTCAATGCTTCTTTCCGATTCTCCTAGAAAATCCCAAACTCCCAAGGACAGTCTGTGACATGGGCCAGCGGTGAACTCCCAGAGGCTGAAGCATTCTGAGTGCACCAAGATCCCTTGCTACCCAAGGACACAAGTGCAGAATTCAGCTCTTATGGCACATGACACCAGGATCACATATAATCCCAGAGTACCTTTACTTGTTCTATAACTTAATAGTATACCTCTAAAATAATTACATTATACTTATAGCTTTTCTTCATTTATAAACAAGACAAAATTTAAATACAATTTGAGCCACTCGAAGGTAAACATCATACATACAATAACCCCAGAAGTAGCCTCAGACCACAGCATGTCATATTGCTTTCATGGGTACACCCATGACTAGGATCAAAAAGAGTGCTAACGTGTATACTTTGTGGGTTGCTAGCTCAACTCTTCCTCTACTTGTATGGGTCCTGTTACTAAAATTATATAGGCTGGCTTTGCAGCTGGGTGTGAGACTCTCCTCCTCTCCCCTCTTGTTCTACTTCATCATCCTCCATTAAGAAAACTCGGATGTCCTTCACAGCTTTTCTGCTGCATGTCTGCTCTGGCTCTAGCTTGAGGCTTTCTACTCAAAGTGAAAACTTCCGCTCTGATCTTGGGCACCCTCTTCTCTTTTTGCCTTCATCCGAGGGGTTCCAGCCCTCTACAGTTTTCCTATTCTCATCTCTCTCTTCAGATTTCAGGCTATATGCTCCCATTTCTGAAGTTAATATTCCATTCAAAGCCACACAGGCTGGGCTTAGGGTTTACTGGGTTGCAGAAGTAAATAAACTAGAAAACATGCATTCTGACTCAGGTAGGAGAGTCCCTGAGACACCCTACCCCAGCTTACCCCAATCCTCTTCTCTGGGTAGCAAACTGGAGAGCCAGCATCATCATTGAGTGTCCAGAAGCCTGAATCTCAGAGCAGCTAACGGATGGTCTCTCTCACACACGAGGAAACCCACTCTTGGGCAAGAGCTTGCACTGAGAATTGGCCAACCAGAGGTTGATGTATTCTGAGCCCCAGCAATGGCTTCTCCTTCACATTTGTCAGATTCCATACATGTCATTCACAGGGACAATTGCACAAAAGAGATTGAACATGAGTGTAATGTTGGAGGAAAATAGATTATTTCAATGTCCTCCCATCAAAGGCCACACTACAGAGACTTCCACAACTCGTCACAAAGTCAAAGGGTGACCTAAGGTTTCTTGGTATTTTTAGGAGTCTAGTCTTGGGAAAGGAAGCTATTTTCTGAGCGACAGTTCAACTACATTACTACCCTCTATGTGTACTTTTTATGTCTGCCTGTGCCACAAAGTGTCTCAATCCCATATATCCTTAAAAGAATTTTAATAGAAAATATTTTTTTGCTTAGTGTTATGGCAGTGAAGACAGTACCAGGTCTCATTTCGCATGTGTACATCAAGCGTTACCACTTCCCAGTGACTCCCCTGGATACACCATCTGTCCTAACCCAGTTTCCACACTATGCTGCAATGCTTTAGTGTCTCAGTGATGTCATACTCATGTATGTAAATCGTGACGTGTCCCTCCTCCCCTCTCAATCTGATAAAAAGTATGTGGCAGTGAATTGCTGACCCGGTAGTATTTCTCAGTAAAATACCTTTTTTACAGCTCACTCCCTGTGCTACCGTCTATTCAAGAATGGTGCTGCAAAGCCAGAGTCCAAACATGTGAGTCGATACAGGAATAGGTCGATAATACTTTGAACAGCTTTTTACACAATAGATCAATTATAGAACTGACATTAACACAGAGACCTTTTGCCTGGTGACAGGCTAATGGCAGAGGGAAGAGCATGTGCACCAGAGTTCATCTTGAGTCCACAGATGGGGGCTAGAAGGAGCAAGAAAAGAGGTGGTGGTGTCTAGGGGTGCTGAGCACAGTTCCTAGGGAAGTCATTTCCTGATCCATTAAGCTTGCCTTGTCCTTGTAGGTATCAGGTTTGTTTGGAGACCCCTTGTGGGTGAGCATGTCCGTTATGGATGCTGCCCATACCGGCTTCACAGCAGCCTCAAAGCCCGGAGCTCCCAGCTCAGAAGAATGGATGCCCACACCACAGAGGTCTGGTGGCCCACGGAAGTGGAAGTTTGCGACAGAATAGTGGTGCGTTCTTCACCAAGGGAGGGTCGATCTGGAGTGTAGGATGTGGCCAGGGAAAGGCTGGCTTTTCCACATGGTGGAAACGTCAATCCCCGATTGACAGTGCATCGCCTGAAAAGTCCTGTCTAGTTTCTGAGAGTGTTTTCCAACATCTTCTGTGCCCAATCCACAGCCTGGATTTGAAGACACGAGTATAGCCCGGGGTGGATCTGGGATATATCGACTATCGACTTGCGGTCCACATTTGTGACAAGGGCACTGTTAGCCCTAAGAGATGCGTTTGCGGCTGACAGGGACACCGGGCATAGTGTGAGTGAGCTCGACAGAAGTGGCGGTGGCGCGACCCAGGGGCAAGGGCGCTCAGGGTTGAGCTGCATCTTGCCCTGCTGACTTCACTGCTTGTCAGAGTCACTCAGGTTCACGGACATACACCGGCAATGCTTCACCTTCTGGATTTTCTTGATTCGGAAAGGTGGGTCGAGCCCGGGGCACTCGAGCTCCACGATGACGGAGGTGACGCGCTGGGGCTTGCAGAAGGCGCAGGACTGGAAGGAGTCCTCCTCCTTCTTCACGTGCCGCGGGATGTAGAAGGAGTTGCACTGGCCATAGCAGAAGCGGTTGAGAATGGTGCGGCTGCGGCAGCCCTCCTCGCTCACGGTCTGCCGCAGTGGCTGCGTCTTGCACCAGTCGCTCTTCAGGTACTTGCGCTCGGTGACCACGAGGGCCTCCTGGCTGGAGGCCAGCACCTCCTTGATCTGGTGATGCCATCTCTCCGAGTTGTTGCTGCTGCCATCCTTGTACGGTGAGGGAATGGCGCCCGCAGGCCGGTTCTTCCGGGCTTCAGCAACCTTTACCAGCACAGCCACGAGGAGCAAGGTCAGCGAGAGCTTCCAGAACATCCTGCCAAGAGAAAACAGTTGATTGACAAGGGTTATCTAGAGACCGTCCATCTTTTCTCTCAGTGTTTATGGTTGCATACCCAGAGACGTCGAAGTCTGACGTGAATGATTAAACAGTACCATGGGAGGCACCTGTGACTATCATACACAGTACCCAACAGCAAGCACACAATGGCACTATTAGAAGTAGGCGGTGCTGTGCTTTGAATGGGAAGCATCCTCCATAGCTCACGTTGTTTGAACACTTAGGTCCCAGCTGGCAAGGCCTCGCTCTTTCCTTCCTCACTGCTGAAGAACCCTGCTTATGTTCCTGATACCATACCTTCCCTATAGAGGCAGGCCCTATCCCTTCTTACACTGTAAGACAAAACAAACCCTTCCTCCCTTAACAGATGGCTAAGTCGGGTATTTTGATCGCAGCAACAAGAAAAATATCAGAGATACAGTAGTAAGTTGAATGATTTCAGGAAAATTAAAGCCAGTAGTGTTGATGTAGCCCAAAGCCAAGGCGCATTCATAGCAATAACAGCTTCCAGCATTGACTCTATAGGTGTGCACAGTGTGGGCTATTGCTGGCTTAACTGCTTGACATTTGAACCTCTTCCCAGCTCATTTGAGTCTTGAAACAGCCTTAGACTCTACCTACTGTTGATCCTATACTTTACAGGGAAGCCAACTGAGGCCCTCAGAAGTTGAGTCCTTTGGTCCCAGAATGCATTCTTCAAATTCTAAACTCATTCGGTCATTTACTACTAGAATAACTATAATTTATCAGGTTCTCAAGATACAGCAGGTTTTCTTTTTCCTTTCATATGTAAATATAACTGGTAATCAGAGTTGCATTAAGTAGGTATGACCGCTTTCCCAATTTCATGGATGAGAAAACAGGCAGGAAAAAGCTATGCAGCTTGCCAAAATCACAAAGCCTATATATGAAATAACTGAATCTAGGCATCCCAGCTCTGTACAGTAAGTTTCCATGAATGTAGCTATCTCTCTCTTATCAAGTCATGTTAAAATGCCTGTACTAAATTACCATGTGTATCACCATTACTAGTCCAGGTCTAAGTGACAAGTGGCTTTGTACATCATCCCAGAGATGACTCCTTCTGTCATCAAGTATTTGCATAAACACTATCAGAAGCGTTGTCAATATCAGTATTTTTCTCTTACAGTTGCTTGGGCAAATATCTCCCAGGTTCCATGTGAGTGCCCCAGAGTTTGCATGTGGGGTTTACCTCCTTTAAGAGGTAAAACCAGCTAGGGAGCCTTTAAGTCATTGTGGATATACCCTTGAGAGAGAGTGTGGGACCAGTGCCTCTTCTCCTTTCTTTCCTTCTCCTTCTTCTTCTCTCCCTCTCTCTAATTAATTCCTTTTACATCCTGACTGCAGTTTCCCCTCCTTCTTGTCTTCCCAGTCCCCCCTCCCCTCTGTATCCCCCTATCCCATCTACTCCTCCTCTGTTTCTATTCAGAAAAAGGCAGGTCTCTCATGGATAGCAAGAAAACATGGCATATCAAGTTTTAGTAAGACTAAGCACCTGGCCTTGTATTAAGGCTGGGCAAGGCAGCCCAGTATGAGGAATAGGCTCCAAAAACCAGCAAAAGAGTCAAACACAGCCCCTGCTACCACTGCTAGGAGTCCCACAAGAAGACCAAGATACACGACTGTCAGTTATATGCAGAGGGCCTAGGTTGGTCCCATGCAGGCCCCAGATGAGCATCTGAACCCCAGAGAACCCCTAGCCAGATCAGAGGCCATGCCCATACACAGCCAGAACTTTAGTCCTAAACTTATGCATCAACCCCTTGTGGACCAGAGTCCATCCAGGACATCAGAAGTCCAGCCACCAATAAGGACAGAAACCCTCTCTCTACTCAACCACAGGCCACGAGATCTGGAAGACCAGAGAGGAAACAGAAACTGAGGAAGAAAACACCCACCCAAGAAAAACAAATCCAGAAACTGGAACTTAGACCCTATAATCACTCCAAATCCAGATACATAAGCGTAAGTATAAAAACACAAGCAACAACAGTCAGGGCAGTATGTCACCACCAGAACCCAGCCATCCCATGACAAGCTGCCTTCTCTCTTCTGTTTCTGGGCTGCAATGGAGCGAGCAGCATTCTCTGCCACAAACTCGTCCCTCCCTGGATCTGGCACTTCGCATGGATCCTTGTACGAACTAAAACCTTTAAAACTATGAGCTTTCATCTTTTTCAGTTATCTCAGGTATTTTGTCTCAGTAAAGAAAAACTGACTAATGGGGAAACCCATGGCCACAGGGGATGTGACGGAATGAAGAACATGTATCTATTGGGCTAGGTCATTTGAAGTCTGGGACAGAGGAGTCTGGGAAGGATGAGCTGAGGAGATGGCTTAGTAAGGAAGGGGCTTCTGGTGAAAGCATGAAGACCTAAGCTTAGATTCCCCAGAAGTCCTGTGAAGAAAAGCCTGGCATGGAGGCACACCTGTGATTCCAGGTTGGGAGGCAGAGAGAGAGAGAGAGAGAGAGAGAGAGAGAGAGAGAACAGGAATTGGGGCTTACTGTCTAGCCAGTCTAGCTAATCACTGAGTCCCAGGTTCAGAGAGATCCATTCTCAAAAGTTAAGGTAAGGAAGAAAAATCCACAAAGAGTTTGTCCTGGTGGTGGCATTACCAGAAACACTGACTAACATTAGAGAATGCAGATGACGTTGACCTTCAGATAGAAACATTGAAGAACTGAGAGGGGAAAGGGATTTGCTTTTTCTGGTTATAAAAACATTTGTACAGCACAATTATTAAACTTCTAAGTCCAAGCTTCTTTTAAGGGCCCTTCTCACGCCTCTTTGGTTCCACACATGACGTGTCATATGAAAATGGTCACACTTCCAACAGACCCATGGCAAGAGTTGAGACTTGGATTCGCTCAGCTTATTCTATCTGTGGAGTGATTTGCGAGCTCCATGGCCTCTTAAAAGGCGAGTCTTTTGGTTCGACTTTAATAATTTCCAAAATTATTAACATTCTAAGTAAACTAAAACCAAAAGTTTTCAAGTCTCAGCCAGGAAAGATTTATGGCCGGCCTAGTCCTTTGCTGCTAGCTCCAACAACAGCTTACGGTGGACTCTTGGTAGGCTCAAACTACACGCTCTCTCCTTCAACAGCTTCTTACTGTTGTCAGGGAGAAGAGAGCCGAAACATGCTCAGATCAATCTGGGGCAGAAACTCTTCGTGTGAACAATACTCAATGTGGTGATTAGTCACAGGCGCTCTTTGAACACTTTAAAAGAGCATGCAAACATCTGGCGTCCATCCCTGGAAGCTGTGTCTCCCAAGAACGAAGGAAGTAAAGCGAACTTGCAATTTTGAGGAAAGGCAAAGATACTGATGAAATCTACCCAACTGGGGCCAAGTCTGGCTCTCCTCTCTATCCCAGCTCCCCACCCCCTGCCATATTCCTCATTTCTCCTTCACATGTAGCCAAAAGAATTGGCATCTCAGTGCCAGAACAGGTAAGCCAGTTGCCTACACGTTTGGCTACAGTGATGTCTAGGAGTTATCCTTATTACTTTAGGGGCCGTTGAGCCAGCTGCTGCTAGTGACAACTACTCTGCTGGCCCTGGTGACCCTGTAAGGATCACAGTCGGAGAGAAGGTGCACATCTCTATCCTCAGTTTATCATCCATCCCACACACATTGGGGAGCCAACCAGGACCTGCATTTAGCACTTCAGGGCTGCCTGGACCCCTTTTCTACTCAGAGAGATGGCTGGCATACAACCACCTCTTGGGAATGCTGCTGCGACCGCCAGTAATGACAGTGGGACGATACTTCAGTGAACGCTCACATCTTGTCTTTGGCTTGTATCAGAAGAAACTCATAAATAACTCCTCTTGGTTTTATTAACCATCCTACTGGCCTGACAATGTTGTCAATTTGCAAAGTGTGCCAGGACTATAAATGCTAATGGCCTAAGCAGACTAGGTTGGCCAAAGGAGATTGTATAAAAGGAGAGCTGGCTGTGGAAGTATTTCCCTTAAGTGAACGCCCTTGGGCCTGACCTTTGAAGCCAGAGCAGCCTACCACCTGGGCAGCCAAAGAACAACAAGTCCCTTCTATCAGTTTTTCAGAGAAAGGTAGAGCAGTGCCGAGTCACCAGGGGCATGCAGGTGGACCACAGCCAAAGATGCAGTGACGCTGGGGACCTCATCCTCAGAGTGACTTTGCTGGAGTTTAGACATCAGGGCAAGACTGAAGTGGGCTGTGTAAGTATTGAGAATAGAAGCAGGGACAGAACATTTCCCACATCCCCAAAATTCCAGAACACCAGGGAAAGATGAAGGAAAGCATCTGAGAGAGACTTCTCTACCCAACGAAGTAGAGCCTAACCAAGCAAAACAATGGAAACCCAAACCCCCAGCCATGTTAATCACCAGGGACTGTTGTTTATAGGTTTCCTACAGCCACAGCTTCACCAACCAAAGGTACTTCATCTGTAATTTTGAGTCTTTTACTGGGAAGGTAATATTTAGTTCCTTGTCTAACTCTCTAGAGACACATTCGGATTTCCTCGGCTCTCCAAGATCACCCTTTGCTTGGGGTTGCTTGTTGCTGAAACAGCTAATCTCCTTCTCACAACTATAAACTGAGGCAAACTATGACCCCTGGGGCCAAACCAAACCTGATGCTCAGTTTTGTAAATAAGCTTGTGTTGGAATGTGGCCACACCCGCTCATTTGTCTTTGACTTTGGCTGCATTTGTACCATAAGGGCGGAATGAGCAGGGGAGCCAGTGACCATGATGCCCACAAAGTCAAAGAATATTCATTATGCGGCCTTTTACATAAAAGCTTAGCCAACGTCTGCCTCAAACCCCACCTATCCAATTTAATTGTTGCCTTCTTCGTGTTAGGTTTTTTGGCCACACAAAGTGACTTTCTTTCAAAATTTCCAGCTGTTCACTGTTTCATGGAGTGAGATAAGAAAATACAATACATCCTACGGGCTAATCA